GTTGTGAGTCTGGGGTTAGTGGGTGTGGGAGGGTCCGTGGGCGAGCGGCCGGGGAGGGGCGACCACTGCACACCCCTGTCTGGACGTGTATGGGGATCCCGGGGATGAAGGGCGCCCTTGCCACTGGCGACTCTGCGGGTGTCCGATCGGGACTCGGCTGTCCTTCCCGGGGTCGTAGCGCGCTGGTCCTTCCTCGGTCTCTGGCCGCCTCTCGGTGCTTCTCTGCGTCTCGGTGTCTGACTGTCTACCCGCCCGCCCCCGCCCGCAGACGTGTCCCGGGCGGTGGAGCTCCTCGAGCGGCTCCAGCGCAGCGGGGAGCTGCCCCCGCAGAAGCTGCAGGCCCTGCAGCGCGTCCTGCAGAGCCGCTTCTGCTCTGCCATCCGGGAGGTGAGCGCGCCGGCAGCCGCCGGCCTTTTCCAGGTGGCCCTGAGGCAGGGACTACGCCTCCCAGCAGCGCCCGGGGTGGCCGGGCGTCAGCTCCGGGATTTTTCGGGAGTTGTAGTTTCCTTTGGCTCCAGGTGTCGGTCGGGACAGTTCTTGGGTGGGAGAGTCTGCGGGTCCGGACTCCTGTGTTGAAGGGAGGAGGGAGCTGGCGGGTCCCTGATGCTGCTGCGTCCTCACCAGGTGTATGAGCAGCTCTATGATACGCTGGACATCACCGGCAGCGCTGAGATCCGGGCCCACGCCACAGCCAAGGTAGGGGCCCCGACCCCATCACTCATGGCATCCACGGAACTTCCGAATGTCAGTCATTCCTGGTTTCTCCTTCATAATTTTTGCCAAATCTCTGTACCACCCTTACTATTACTTATTTATAATTTAATCTCTCATTTTATTTAAATTTCACATAAAGAAAGCCATTTTTAGCAACTACAAATTGAAACTAGTACCGCATGCCTGACTAGAAGATAACCTTAAACATCTATACAGTGAAAATGAAGAAATATCAGTAAGCACTGAAATCTGATTAAACTATAGTTAGATGCTATTGCTTGCTGCTTCCTGGAGGCTCTCGGCTTCTTCCAGGCCTTGTTTTCCTCTGTTAAAACGTGAGTTTGGCAAGTGTTGGGTATTTAAGGTACATTCACACCAAATGGAGACTTTCTCTTTGACATGTCTGAACCATCCAAAGTGAACCAAAAGGGGCATGAAGTCATTATGGAGAAATCTTTGGACCTGTAGCAGCCACCTCGTGCTTGGGAAAAGCTATCTGGCCTCAGTAGCTCTCCCAGGCCCAGATCCTCTACCCCAGTCTGCACGCCCACCATGGAGGGGCCCTTACGTCCCCATGCTTGCTCTTTCCCAGGCCACAGTTGCCGCCTTCACGGCCAGTGAGGGCCACGCACATCCCAGGGTAGTGGAGCTGCCCAAGACAGATGAGGGCCTGGGCTTCAACATCATGGGGGGCAAGGAGCAGAACTCACCCATCTACATTTCCCGTGTCATTCCTGGAGGTGTGGCTGACCGCCATGGAGGCCTCAAGCGTGGGGACCAGCTGCTGTCGGTGAATGGTGTGGTGAGTGGGAGGCTGAGGTAGGGCTGGGGTCACAGTCTGTCCTTGTTTTTGACATTTATTCAATACATGCTGACTGAGCACTACCCCTATATCCAACCATATGCTGGGTGCTGCTGCAGACCCTGAGAAAAGTTGGCTTCAGCTCTTACCTTCAAGAACTCCCTCTCCAATGAGAGAGATAGATCCTAAGTGAAATATCCCTAATCCAGGGAGATAATAGTGAGGATGCAAAAAGCATTATGATGTGGCATCAGATCAGGGTAGATGAAAGAAATTTTTGCAGAGGAAGGAACATTTGAGTTGGGTTTTGAAGGGTGAATAGGAGTTCTCCAGGCAAATAAGGTGGATAATGTGTTACTGGGAGGTGGTTGTAGGTAGGGGGTGTGACACTCTTGTGAGATGAAGAGAAAGGGCTTGGTTCTGATGGAGGACTGGGGCATGCAGGTAAGTAAAATCACTAGAGTAGATGGAGATATGACTAGATGAGTGGTTGGGGCCAGCCTCATCAGGCCTGAGTGCCAGCCTAAGAAGTTGGGACTTTGTCTCAAGGGCTCTGGGAAGCCACGGGAGGGCTGTGAGGAGCGGAGGGACAGACTGAGCTTGGAGATGTAGAAAGACTCCTTTGAGACTCCGTGGGGAATGGACTGAGGGAAGAGACTGGAGGCCAGGAGGCCAGGGAGGAGACTAGAATGAGAGTCCACTATGGAGACGACCAAGCCTGATCTGGGGCCAGGGTGGTAGGGACAAAGAGGAGGGAAGGGAGTCAGGGCAGGAGGGATGGGGCTGGTAGCAGGACTGTGGGCAGGGAGGGGCTAAAAATAGTCCTGGAGGTCTAGATCAGTGACTGAGAGCATATGGGGCTTGTCCCTGACATGGGGAACCTGGAAAATTTGGGGGAAAGACACTAAGTGAAGAGTTAATGACTCTCCCATGAGGACATGAGGTTTTGGCACTTCGCGGCTGGTAGCAGGTCACTAACAGTTAGTCCTGTTTTGGGGGTGGGGGCTGGGTGAGGGCAGTGGGCCCCAGGCCGAGCTGTCTGTACACTTTCCTGCAGAGCGTTGAGGGTGAGCAACATGAGAAGGCAGTGGAGCTGCTGAAGGCAGCCCAGGGCTCGGTGAAGCTGGTGGTGCGTTACACACCTCGCGTGCTGGAGGAGATGGAGGCCCGCTTTGAGAAGATGCGCTCCGCCCGTCGGCGCCAGCAGCACCAGAGCTACTCGTGAGCCCTTTGCCACCATTCCCCTGGGGCCTCCACAACCTCCCTTATCCCCAGACTCCCAAACCAGGCCAATGATTCCCGGAACCTTGATTGCCACCCCTAGCCATGGCTCCTCTTCTGGGATTCTGACCCTGACCCAGACTCTCACCCCAAACCATTCTGGCTAAAACCCTTGGGGATTCTTAGTGGTCTCCCATTCCAAGATCTGGAAGCTACTCTCCCTGGAATTCCTCAATCCACTTCCCTGAGACCTGGTTCTGGAACCCCTGCCCTGGCTCTTACCCATCCATTCCCAAGTCCCTTACCCTGAGTCTGGCTCCCTTCTCTTCACCCTCCTTGCAGGTCCTTGGAGTCCCGAGGCTGAAGCCACAGATCTGGACCCTCCCCTTCCCCCCTCCCCTGTACAGTATTTATTGTCACCGGCTCCTTATTTAAAGATGTTTGACCCTCATTGAGTGTTTGTGTCTGTCCTGCATCCCAGGGTTAGAGGGTCTTGAGATGTGGGGGAGGGAGAGGAGCTGAGGTTGACACCAGGCCCTTGAAGAAGCCCTTTTCAGAATCTGAGAGCAAAGGTATAGAATTTTCCCCAGGTCTGGCTGTGGAAGCTGGACAGCTTCCTAGGGACAAGTCCAAGGGTGGAGGCTGGGACCCAGACTGGTCGGAGTTCGAACTCACACCTGAAGACAACGGCCCCTACCCTAAGATGGTCTGAGGGCCGGAATCCAAGCCCCTTCTGTACCTGGTCGGGCCCAAGAGTCCTGAAATGCTGCGGGAAGCCAGTGGGCGTCCTCTGTGTGGGCGGGGCGGAGCGAACCATTAACCTTGTCCGCCGGGGGAGCCCAGCGTGGGAGGCGGGGTGGGGGTGCAGCGTGCAGTTCCCGAGGCCGGCGCAAGAGTGCAGAATAAGGTGCACTTGCGGACCCCGCAGTCACCCCACCTTCCAACCCAAGCGCGTCTCCGGGAGTCGCCCCCATCTTAAAAATACAACCTTTACTCCCACCTCGTCCCCCGCCCAGCTCTCCTGTCCCGTGCGGCGAGGGCCGGCGCGCGCCCGCCACCGCCGGGATCCGGAGTCGCGACTCGCGTTCCACGCCGCGCGCCACTCGCTCCAGGTGACATCATCTCCCTGCCGGGCTCCGCCTGCCGCCCCAGCTGCCTCACGCCGCAAGTCTATTGGCTGACATGTCTTGAGGCCCGCCTCCCGCTCTCCGCCCGCGCGACCCCTCCCATCCCGTGCGGAGGCGGGGTTTAGCCTCCGACCGGCGTCGACGCTGCCTCCTATTGGCCATTCAGAGCCGTCTGTCAGTCTCCTGTTAAAGGGGCCACCACCGACAGGGAGCTTTTGGGGGGGAGGGAGGAGGAAATTTTGGGGGGGGAAAGGTGGGATTTGGGGGGCTCTGGTGGGCACCCCTGAATCTGGCGGCTGCGGCCTCGTGGGGAGGCTGAAAGGTGACAGGGTTAGGGGGCTATTTTAGGGGGTAGAGGGCTGTGAGACTGTGAGAGGGAGTGGGGTCCCCAGCGCCCAAGCTGGAGCTAAAGACGCGGAGCCCGCGCGAGCGGCGGAGACAGGG